CTTCGTCCACACAGGGTCGCGGGGGGGCTGGTACCTATCTCCAGTGGTCAACGGGCAATCAGGCGGGGTACACCCTGGACAGAGATCCAGTCCATCGCAGGGCAACACAGAGACACACAGGACAAACAATCATGCACACACACACTCACACCTAAGGACAATTTGACAGACCAATCAACCTAACCATGTTTTTGGACTGTGGGAGGAAGCCGGAGTACCCGGACAGAACCCACGCATGCACAGGGAGAACATGCTAACTCCATGCAGGAAGATCCCAGGCCAGGGAGTGAACCCAGGACCTTCTTGCTACAAGGCAACAGCTCTAACCACTGCGCCACTGCGTGGCATGTAGTTTTCAAATTCAATAATAATTATAATAAATAGAATGTTTCGTGTGTCCAACCTTGCTTTACCGATTGACTTTTCCCAGCCTGGACTTGAACCCAGGTCCTCTAGAATGTAAGTCAGATGACTAACCAGTTGAGCTAAGCCATTGATCAGCAAACAGTAGATTTTCACGTACAACTGATTCACGACATGCCATGTGTTGACCTATACGTAAGTTATTGTCAACGTAACAATTATACATGTAATCTGAGTGGATTTTTAGGAAATGTTATGTTGAATTTTTTTTTGTTAATTTGGACCAACCTACCGCAACTATTTTTGGCCGTGGACACGACGTTGCCATCAGACCAATATTTGCTGGGATTCTATGTTGAACTACACGTAACTAATTATCAAAATAACAATTATACATATAACTGTAGGCATGTACAAATGAATCTGAATGGATTTTTAAGGCATGTTCTGTTATCTTTTTTTTACAAATTCGCGCAGTCCTACCGCAACCATTTTTGGACGTGGACACGACGTTGTCGTCGGACCAATGTTTGTTGGGAACTATATCAAGGCTGGCGGATATTAACACTCATTCAACACAAAAAAAAAATAATTCTTAAGGCTTTGAAGTGAATTATGGTGCACAGATGCCCTGACCAAATGTTCTGCTTTAAGGAGTCAAAAGGGATGCAGAAGTCTGACTTTATTAAAGATCGGCTTTGCAAACATTTAATGAAGAGAAAAACTCAGCATTGTTTTGGTTGGAAGGACACACAGCATGCTTTCTGGCAATTTAAACAGGCTGAATGTCACACACTGAACCGTTTTACATGCTGTTAACGCTGCTTTCCTCTGCATTTTAGGAGCAAATAATGTGCCAGATTTTTTATTTAAAATGTGTTATTTGTCTTTTGAGCATTTTTGCACAAATACAAAAGATGAAAGCAACCAGTAGAGGAGCAGAGGGGAGGAGATTGTGCACAAGACTGCAGTGGAAGCTTTGCTGCACATTTCAGCTAAAACTTCAATTTATTGGTCTGGAAAGGGTCTGCTGGCATTTCTGTCCAACAACTTCAAAGACAGATTTTGCATGTTGAGTCAGAGAATATAAGCTTAAACAACCACAAACAATTTCACAGCTGGGACGATGTTTAATCAAATGTGGAGTTCTATGTGATGAAAAGTGGCTCCAGTGTGTTTAAACTAAACAAAATCCTCAAAAGGACTTTCTAGCCACAAAAATGTTCATTTGAACATTGGTGGGCATAAAAACGAAGGCAGGATTGATGAGGAGGTTGCATCTTGTGATGTATGTTCATGGGCCTGTTTGGCTTTTTTCTTTTTAAGTTTTCGCTGAGACCTAATCCAACCAAACATTCCAAAGCTGAATCACAAAAAGGAATTGCTCTTGAAAGTGCATTTTTGATCCATTTACTGAGAGCTTAGCAAAGATGGTTATATTCAAATAAAGGGTGTTTGAAAGCTTTGGTATACAGAACTGTGTTGATGTAGCCTGGCAAGGCATCCTATTTATGTGAATGTATAGTCCCGCCATGACCCATAGACAGTGTTGGGAGTAACGCCGTTTAAGTATAACGGCGTTTCTAACGGCGTTCTTTTATAGGTAACGGAATAATCTAATTAATTACTTTTCCCGCCGTTGCAACGCCGTTACCGTTACTGGGGACGGAACGTTGTGCGTTACTATGTGCTTGTTGAACGTTGAGCAGCTGCGTGAGGATTTCTGACCGCCACACTTCAGCTGCAGCCAGGGAGAGAGAGGTGTCGGTAACGCACTTACAAACACGATGATGATTGGCCGGGTGGGCGGAGACCCTCACTGTCTCAGTCGCTGCATTCTGTAGACACAACGGGAATAACTCCGTTTAAAATAACCGCGTTAATAAAAAATATTTCTTTCTGTAACGAGCAAACTAATTAATTACGTCTTCTTTTATCAAAACGTCGTTCCTGTTACTGATAAGAAAATGCGTGCAGCAGCGAATCTGCGGGTCTGCAGCCGTGCCCTTCTTAGAGTGACAGCGGGACGTCCCGAAGGTATGTCCCGCTCACCTGTTCATCGCTCAGACGTCCTGATTTTCTACCTTCCTAGATCATCCAGCTGTAACCTGTTCCTGATCATGTCTTTAGTCCCGCTGTAACACTGATGCATCACGTCATGGAGCTCAGGTGTTATCAGAACTGCCTGTGTGTGTTTACCACCCAGCTTCAGCTCTTCTGTGTTTGGGTCTGACCCAAGTTAGTACATTTAAGTCCTCCATCAGGCTTGTGCCTCTTCTAGTGTCATTTTAAAGGCTTTTATTTATTTATTTAACCGTTACTAGATTACCAGCAACAGAAATGCTGCTAAAACACACAATTATGTGAAGCTGGAAAAATTAAAATGCTGTGCAAAATTACATTTATTTCTGTAATTTAACTAGACTGAGAGACCATTTAAAGGCTCGGGAACCTTTACAGGTGTTTCTATTTGCAATTTTAAATTTTAGCTGATTGGGGTCTTGTTAAATATCACACAGTGACCTTTTAATAGTCTAGATTAGTGTAATGTTCCAATTAGTAGTTTCTCCTGTTAAGTGCTTATTTATTTAAATTATTCAGGTTTATATAAAACATTTGGACATACGTTTTATTATGTTCCAGTCATTAGTCATTTATATTTTACTATTGTAGTAATTCTTGCATTCTTTAATGAAAAAAGTAACTAAGCAGTTACTTTTGTTGGTAATTAGTTACTTTTATGATCTTGTAACTCAGTTAGTAACTGAGTTACTTTTTTGACAAAGTAATCAGTAACTATAACTAATTACTTTTTTAAAGTAACGTTCCCAACACTGCCCATAGACAGACCTCAGTAGGGCAGAATCTACTGTTGTCTATAAACTGTTTCCACATTCTACTGGACAGCAAACAGCGTGACGTACTCACCGCTACGAATGTCAAAGGAGACACAAATACCATCTGCTCTTGACTCAAAGAAGTTTGTATAGTCTCATGTTGATGCCAAAGCTGTTTCAAACGAGCCGCCATCTTAGTTATTTTGGGCACTGTGATTGGCAATACACAAGAGAGTTTGATCCTGCTGAGGCTCAAAAGGAGCGTGGCTAGACCGACCTGCAGAGCAAAATCTTTTAGCTTCTGCTACGGTCTGTCTCGGTATCGAGGCCAGTGTTCACGTACATTAGGGTCCCTTTTTCAAAAGCCTTTCTATCGGTAACAAGTCTGTGTTTGCTGCCAACCTTCCAGGGCCTGCTTCTGTGCTGTTCCAAGTGTACCAAGCCAAGCCGAAAACACGATGTCGGCGACTGTCACTGATTGGCTAGGGGGCAGAGTCACCGGTAAATTCTGGAGTTTTCCGCCTGCAGCCTGTGGCGTTTTCCAGGTTCAGAGTCTCAAAGATAAAAAAAATCACAGACTGAGAAGAATGTTCACCACCATGTCTGCCACTTTCGTGTCGATGAGTGCACCCACTAAAGCCGTTCCAGTTTAAATTGGAGGAACAATCGCCACCATGTTGAGTATGACAGCAGTTTAGGGCCGCTTGGATAAGAAAAGAGCAATATTTTTGGGACAACAAATTCAAAATGTTGAGGAAAATGTCTTTATAATTTTTTTTACCATAACTGGTAAAAAAAAAAACAGGGGGGGGGGGATAAAATACACATTTCAAGTTTCAAGCTGCGATAGAAATGCGTACCCTTGGTGCTTTAGGTGGGCTGGTTAAGCACTGGTAGTTTTCAAAATTTAACTCAGTGCTGTTTTTTTTTAGAATACAGTGGGTTCCAGTGCTTTTTCCAGCCATTTATCAAAATAACCGGTCCATCTTCTGGTTAACAAGAATAATAATGTCTATCAATCTGGAAAAAGGCATTTGGACTTTGGGACATTTTCTTGACTTTTCAACTTCAATTAAAACATCTCTACTTTCATTTACAAACAAAAAAGGTGAATATTTAAAGTGACAGTGTGTAGTTTTTACCACTATTCTCTGGAAATATCCATTGAAATGTAAAAAAATTAAAAGCTGTTGAAAAATATTGGTGGTTTCATAACATATAACCACAAAATGCATGAGAACGGGTTTAAGTCTCTGGGCGACGCCATATTGGATGCCATGTTTCCTTCTACAGAAGCCCGTGAGGACAGAATGTAAATACTGATTTGTAACAAATGGTTACAAAACTTTCAGCATTAATAAACGTTGTTGTTTTACACGTTTACCTCTTCAATCATCGCAAGTGATGGAAGGGAGTCTGATGATCTTGTTGTTTTGCTGGAGGTTGCACGCCCAAGGAATTTTGACACTAATGGCCACCTGTCGATTTGGTCATACTTGAACACAAAAATAATGTTTGCTTGCACTGATTTAGGTATCTACTGCCCCCTATTGCCAGGGAAACTACACACTGTCACTTTAACAACAAAAGAACCACGATCATCCACTGCCGTTGTAAGCTTCAAAGACTGAAACTTCGTTCAGTTACTTTTTAAAAGTTTCTGGTGTGAAAAAGACTGAGGTCGTTGAGGGTCAAGGCCACATGAAACTCTTTATATTTTGAAACATTTAACTCTGCTTCTCCATGGTGCTGAGGTAGGTCAGCACCATGGAGAACCAGGCTCTGTGTAGTTTTATTTACCTCCCAGCGTCGCAGAGAGCAGGAAGTGGGTTCCGTATTTCCTGATGATGTTGTCAGTGATGGCGCTAAGACTGGGCCTCCTGCCCAGCTGCCTAATGGTCTGAAGGAACTCAGGGTCCAGCGGCAACGAAAAGCCATTGTTCTCCTGTCTCTCGAGGGCCAAGCTGTTCACCTTCCAACGGCCAAATTCCCTGCAATATCACAGAAACACATGCTCAGACTGAGCAAATAAGGGACACGGCGTAAACGCCACAAATGCTGCATGAAGGCTCATTCCAGAGAAATTAAAAAGAAACTAATGTGACACAGATGCATAAACAAGATGATTCTCATTAGTAAGCTCGTTGCTGTAAAGTGACGGGACTCGGGCGAGCGGTTTTCAGACGTTTTTATTAGAGTCACAGTGAAGAGACTAATATTTCTGCATCAATCTAAAAAGCTTGCTGTGCATGTTGAAAGAGGCAGAGGCTATTAGCGATGGCATCTTGCCCCTCCCAGTATACCCAGCATCCAGAACTGCTCCTTACCAGGTCTAAAATTGGTTGTACGCACAAACTCTTAAGTGAATCTCATGTGAAACCCTTTATAGGAATAACCCCACGGCGTTTCCATTTCAAACTCAAGAGAATTGGTTTGCACCATGGTGGAAACAAATATTGTTTTTCCACTGATTTTAAATAATAGCTCCATTTTTGTCCCCCGTCATCTCGAGTCCGTTTGTGAGACACCGCGTTTGGACGGGCTGTAATCATGGATGGAGCCTTGCTGCTTTCCCTGCCTCTTTTGGAGGGAGCGGGCTTCGTATGTGGTCAATTGATATTCAGCCTGGCCTTGGAGGATGCCAGCTGCCTTTATCTACCGAGTGCAGACCAAATGCTGCTGCTTGATGCGTTGATTAGCACTATTCAAACGGAGCTGGAAGAAAACACAGTTCACTCCTAACCTGGCACGGGGAAGAAGCAACGCCTTTCAATGGCTTTTGGGCAGCTGACCTGTCTTGTGGTTTAAAAAGGCTGCAAATAAAATATTAACTGAATGATTTTGAATGTTTTCAGGGGAAAACATCTTACCAGTGCGGCTGCATGCAACACAAAACACAGTTTGAAGTGACTTGGGGGTGATTCATCGTCTGTTATGCCTCCTTCTTTGGAATAAATACAGAGTAAATATTTTGGAAATGTGATTTGCAAGTTTCTATCGTTTGATTGAAGCCTCAAGGTCGAAAACCACAAAGTGAATGACTAAAAAGTAAATCATTTAAACCAGAAAAATCCAGATAAACCATAAGTTGAGGTTCTGACTTGTTTACAGCTGTTTGAAAGACAAATATGCAAAATGTTCTTATTACTTCAATCAATCAATAAATCAATCAATCAAAGCTTTATTTATAAAGCGCCTTCCGCAACCCTGTCAGGAAGCCCAAGGCGCTTCCTTTAGTCTTCAGCCCTATCACTCTCATGTTAAATAAATGAAAATTTAACCTGGAAGATGGCGTAATGATTATATTTTATGACTAATGTCACAACTTTGGAACATTTAATGGGCGACGGTGGCACAGGAGTTAAGTGCTCGCGCCGTAATTGGAAGGTTGCAGGTTCGAGCCCCGCTCAGTCTGTTGTTGTGTCCTTGGGCAAGACAACCCAACTTGCCTGCTGGTGGTGGTCGGAGGGATCGGTGGCGCCTGGGCTTGGTAGCCTCGCCTCTGTCAGTGCGCCCCAGGTCAGCTGTGGCTACATCATAGCTCATCCCCACCAGTGTGTGAATGGGTGAATGACTGATTGTGTTGTAAAGTGCCTTGGGGGGCTCCAGGACTCTAGAAGGTGCTATATCAAATACAGGCTATTTATCATTTACCATTTTATGTGTTAAGTCGGGGTGGGGAACCCTGGTCCATTGAGGGCTGCTATCTAGCACATTTTAGTTGCAGCCTTACTTCAACACAACTGATTTCAATCAGCAGGTGATTAACAGGCTTCTGCAGAGCCTGATGGGCTGCTGCACAGGTGACTCAACCACTGAATGTGTTTAGCTGACACGAAGGCAACATTCTGTGAGAACGGTGAAACTGGTGAAAATGCATGATTGAGTCCGTTGAGCAGATTTCGTTACTGGTGGCTGTATTTTATTGTCAAGTGTTATTAAAGGACTTTGTAATCAAGAGACAAAACGTCCAGGAACGCCCACCACTTGTGTTGTTTCTCATTTATGGAAAACTCCCTGAAAGGCTTCTTGTTGTGAATTGGCCTATTTAAGTGAGCTGCAGCTTGGCTCAGCGTGTAACATCAAAACCCTGGGACTAATTATGAGATGAGGCCAATTCCCATGTTTCTTCTCTTCCAAACGTATGATTCTAACCCACTGAGGTGAGATGGTCCACAAGTACTGGAAAAAAGAGGAAAATTCGTAAATTCGTAGTTTCAGCACACGTAACTCATGTATAGTTTCAGATGAGGTCTAAACTGTAAACAAATGGCAGTCTTCCTGCAAATGTCATGCATATATGTTGTTGCATTTTAATCTAGCAAGTGTTTCATGTGTATTTAGTAGAGGTGCTGGAAAAAAATCCATTCAAATCTGAATCGGGATTCTTATTTATAAAGATTCAGAATCGATTCCCAAAGGTTCAGAATCGATTCCAAGAACTCAAATATTTGTCACGTTACAGGTTTGAGATGCCTTTTGTTGATCTTTGTTAGGAGACTCAGCACTCCGTTTACTTTTGTGGTCCCATAAATTGAGATGAATTTTGTTTGAATCTGCTGATAAGAGGACACTTGAATGTCATTTTTTCCATACTCAGAAATTTGAGATATTCTCATATTTATTTTCTAAGTTGATAAATGAGTACTCAGGATTACTCATGTAACTTGTTTGTACACATACTTGAAAAGTATTTGACCGTGTTAATTTCAAAGCTACTGTTAGGTAACTACAGATTTGTCATATTTTACAAGGTAAGCAAAAATAAATGTTGCCTTTTGGTCAAAAGATTGTTTCTGTTTACAGTTTTAGAATCACTTTATTTTACCTTGTAAATTAGCATTTTAGGAGCATGACCAGTTTAAAGTCAAATAAAAATGTCCCATAGCTTTAACTAACTTGTACAACAAAGTAGTTCATCCTGGAGCTGACACTCTTGTTAATACTGATTGTGAATCGATTTAATTGAGAATCGAGAATCGATTCTGAATCGAATCGGCACCCCGAGAATCGGAATCGAATCAAATCGTGAGTTGCTCAAAGATTCACATCCCTAGTATTTAGAACCTTTTATTTATTTATATTATTTTCAAACCTGAGCTACAACTTGATGGTCAAACTCCCCTTTTATCACTAAGCAATGTAACGTAGTATATGTACTTAAATATTGTACTTAAATACAGTAACTCTCTATCTGTACTTTGCGCAAAGAATTTTCTTGAGGCCTACGTTTTTACTTTCACTCAGTTACTCTTTATAGAAGTTATTTGTACTTTTCTACTCTACTACATTTTCTAAAAAGTGTCAAAAGTACTTAAATTTGCATTTAGTCCGACTGCCATCCCACCCTGTTCCCTAGTCTGACGGAGACCGGCAGCACAGTCTCTTGTTCATGCTGGACCTCTCGTCAAAAGGTAAAAGTACTTTAAATTGCGTTTTGTCCCCTCGCCCCCTGTCCAACAGCACACTTCTATATACACAATGCATACTTCAATGATGGTTAAATATTTTTACATTTTTACCATTAAGTACATTTGAAAATGCATACTGTAATACCTTTACTTGAGTCATCAAATTCTTGAATACTTCAACTTTAGCTCAAGACTTTTTTTTTTTACCTCTTTATTTGTACTTTTACTTAAAAGTGCACGATGTAAAAATGAAGTTACAATCACATCATGTGTTCACATTTAGGTACTGCAGCCCATTTTCAAACCAAATGAGTTATTTTGTCACTTTTGTTCTGAGTTTGATGGCTGTTGCCAGCTATAGCCAGAAGATTCTAGACCAGGGGTGTCAAACTCAGTTTTGCTCAGGGGCCACAATGAGGAAAATCTAGTCCCAAGTGGGCCAGACCAGCAAAATTAAAGTATGTATAAATTAAAAACTGCTTTAGATTGTTTTCTTTGTTTTAATACGATCAATATAAAACAAAGCTGGAGCCTGAGGACAGAGTATCCAAAATAGTTTAAGCACAACATCAATATTAATAATAAAACACCTGAAGTGTATTTACACACATACACACATTTCACAGTCATTTTTAGTTGTTGACTTCCTGGTAAAACCAGCATAGACCAGAGTAGTTACCAGCGTGTATTGTTTTGGTGATAGTTTGCTGGTGATTGGATGCTTGACCAGCATCCCATGTTGGATCAGCATGCAACACTGGACCAGCAACTACAGACGGGGACAAAATTGTTGGTATCCTTCGGTCAATGAAAGAAAAACCCACAATGGTCAGAGAAATAACTTGAATTTCTCAAAAGTAACAATAAATAAAAATTCTATGGAATTTAACCATTGACATTGCTTTACAACAATTGAAGCACTGAATTATTTATAAAATAAACTCATGGAACAGGCCTGGACAAAAACGATGGTGCGCCTAGAAAAGACCAGAGTGGCATGTTAATGCCAGCAGTGTCCACTAGTTTGCATCACAGGCGTCTACAATCTTATGTGAATCAGTGTGTGAATGTGTGTGAATGGGTGAATGACTGATTGTGTTGTACAGCGCCTTGGTGGTTCCAGGACTCTAGAAGGCTCTAAATCAAATACAGGCCATTTACCATATAATCCATCGATTGACCTATACACAGGGCTACAGGTAGTCACTGTGTTGTTTGCTGGCATGGTGTGTACCACAATCAACATGGACCAGAGGAAGCCAAGGAAAGTCCCGTTTCAGTAGTATCTTCCTTCCAACATGATTGAGACATCTTTGGTGTGTTCTTACTGTATTTAGTTTCTAATTCCATTTTTGGTTCTTTTTAAACACAGGGGAGATCGGGTAGCAGAGGGCGACAACGTCTTCTGCTGCCCGCGGATAAATGGAGTAGGAAGTGACGCCACCATCAACGTCCGCTCTGTGGATGTTTTGCAGTCGGCAAACGAAACGTACGTCAGCAAGGTAAAGAAAAACCTTTCCTGTGTTTTAAAAGAACCAAAAACGAAATTAGAAACTAAACACAGTAAGAACACACCAAAG